GATGGTGATGGCTAGCACGAGGGGACATAGCTTTAAATTGAGGGGTGATAGATATAGGACAGATGTCAGAGGTAGGTTCTTTACTCAGAGAGTAGTAAGGGCGTGGAATGCCCTGCCTGCAAAAATAGTAGACTCGCCCACTTTAAGGGCATTTAAATGGTCATTGGTTAAACATATGGATGATAATGGAATAGTTTAGGTTAGATGGGCTTCAGATTGGTTTCACAGGTCGGCGCAACATCGAGGGCCGAAGGGCCTGTACTGCGCTGTAATGTTCTATGTTCTATGTTAATAGTTGTCCAGGAAATGTTAGACAGTGAGGAAGCCAACCCAGTACCATTTGAATAGTCACTTTGGCCACTGCCTGCCCTGATATACGCTCAACATCCCTCTCTGCCAGCCCTAACATTTTTTGAATCCCTCCCACTGTCCCCAAAACCTCTAGCCACTACCCCACAGCCCTAGCACTGCTCAACTCTCACCTCCCAAAGGCAGTCCATCACTTTTATGGCACTCTTAACTGCTGAACAACCTGCCACCTAACCCCACACTGCAGCAGCTGTCAGGCTCTGACTGTACTGCTGTGTAAATCGTAGACTCAGCAAAACAAGAAAGTGTGGCTTGACGTTCCCCCCATTACCCCTGAAACAGGGGAAACTTGTGTTCATTTCAACTACACTCTGCATTTCTGATGGGGCTGGAATCAGAATTTCTAGCTAGAAATGTGAAGCTCAGTACTAACATTAAAAAAGAATGAGTGGAGTAGCGATCACATCAGAATATCCGGGCCAGTGTATTAAATGCAGACACTCCTGTTGTTATTGGTATCATTTACAACTGAACGATGAGTTTCTTAACTGCAGCAGTGGCACACACTGTCTGGAACATGTCAAATAAAGAATTGACCAGGTAAATTCTCCTGCATGCTACAAAAAATAACAAATGTGGAACTTATTGATTCAGTGTGAACTACTCTGCAGTAAATGGACATATAGGGTCTGCGCCTAAACTACTGTGGGTATAATGCATGGCTTCTGGTCTAAACAGAGCAAGGTTATTAGCAGTTAAGTAGAGGGAGGATAGTTTGATATTCTGGGTCAGGTTCCTTGTGAGATAACTGTTCTCTTGATGCTGTTTTTCATAATCTGATAGACCTATAATACACTGTTATTTTCTACTTTATTTTACATCTCGATCCTATGTGATTTAACCATTCTGTCCTCTCTCGTATAATAAATGGCAAAGTTTCACCGTATTTATCAGACTTCAAAAATCACAGGATGGGAAGAGATAATCACAGTTAAATCAAAGATTCCAGAAGACGACCTGACAGCAACATCTCAGGACAATTTAGGTTAGTAACTTTACCTGCGAACCCAACAACTGGGAAGTGAATGGGGAGAAAAAAAGTTGCTCAGGTGTAAAACTGGTTTCATAGAATATAATTCCTACAGTGCAGAAAGAGGCCCATTTGGTCTGCACTGACCCTCCAATAGCATAACCCATTGACTGTTCCCATTTCAGGCAAGTTCGTAAACCAATCCTCTGATCAACAGCATTTGATAGTCAGACTGCAGAATGGATTAATTCGATTCCTAAACAGTTGATGCTCACTGAATCTTCCCAATCTGTAGCAACCACAGACACTGATCCAGACTACAAATTGATAATCATTGATTTATTGAATATTTGCTGATGGTGATACTGAGTTGACAGCGTCTTACTCAATATGCTTTGTTCTTTTTATTAATGGTATGTTATTAATGTTGCTGGGTGATCTCGAGTGTCTGTTGTCTCCATCATCTCTCTGATCTCGGATTACAGCCCCCAGCGGTGGGGGTCATTGTGTGTGTGTGTGTGTAAAACATTTACATTCCCTCGCAGAGGGGGAGCATACCAGAATCCCGCAGAGGAAGATTGCTGTTGGTGGTGTGTATAGTGTAAAACATAGAACAGTACTGCAGAGGAACAGGCCTTCCAGCCCATGCTGTTGTGCCGAACATGATGCCAAATTAAACTAATCCCTTCTGCCTGCCCCTGGTCCCTATCCCTCCATTCCTTGCAGAATCACCTGCTTATCTAAAAGTCCCTTTAAACGGCCCTAACATATCTGCCTCCACCACTACCCTTGGCAGTGCATTCCAGACTCCTATCACTCTCTATTTTTTAAAAAAAAAACTTGTCCCTCGCATCTCCTTTGAACTTACCCCCTCTCACCTTTAAAGGCATCCCCATAAGTATAAGACATTTCAATTCTAGGGGAAAAAGATCAAAAACTATCAACCCTATCTATGCATCTCATAATTTTATAGACTTCTGTCAAGTCTCCCCTCAGCCTCTGCTGCAGCAGAGAAAATAATGCAAGTTGTCTATACTGTACTTATGGCTCATACTGTGTATTCCAGGCAGCATCCTGATTAACCTCCTCTGCACCCTCTCCAAAGCTTCCACATCCTTCCTATAATGTGGTGACCAGAACTGAACACAATACTCTAAGTGTGGCCTAACCAAAGTCTTATAAAGCTCCAAATGACATCCTGACTCTTGTACTCCATTCCCTGACCAATATAGGCAAGCGTGCCATATGCCTTCTTAACACCCTACATATTTGCCTGGCCACTGTTAGGGAGCTATGGACTTGAACTCCAAGATGCTTCTGTACATCAATGCTGTTCAAGTTCTTGCCAGTAACTGTATACTTTTCCTTAACATTTGATCTCCAAAAGTACAGTACCTCACACTGACACAAATTAATTTTCCCCCATATCTACAACTGATCTATATCCTGCTGTATCCTTTGACAAATTTCTGCACAACTTGCTGATCTTTGTATTGTCTGCAAACCTACTAAGCCCCCATCTACACTTTCAGCCAAACAGCAGAGGTCCCAGTATGGATCCCTGCAGAATACCACTAGTTACAGACCCCCAGCCAAAAAACACCCTTCCACCACTACCCTCTACCTTCTATGGTCAAGCCAATTCTGAATCCACACCACCACGTCACTGTGGATCTCATGCATCTTCTGGATGAGTCTGCTATGAGGGACCTCGTCGAAAGCCTTACTAAAATCTATATAGACAGCATCCACTGCTCTGCCCTCATCAAACACCTTCGTCATCTTCTTCTCAAAAATCAGGTAATTGATACTATCCTGAGTGTAAACATCTTTAAGACAACTTGTATCAAACAGCTATTTCCCAGCACTGATTGTCAATGAACAATCGATGAAAAAGTGGAACAGCCTTGAAATATCCCTTGACATATTCTTAGGAATGAAGTGTATTTGTTTAGTAATCTTGTGTTCAATTCCATCATACACTTCTGTTCAATTTTGTAAAAACAAAACTGTGTCCATTTGTATAATATGTTAAATTGTAAATATGGTGTATTCAGTTTTATAATGGATTTATCATTTGTATAAATCTCAAACTCATCAAGCTTGCTGACTTTACTTGTTAGTTTCATTAAATATCTATTAAAACAAAGCCTGCTCCTGAAGAAGGGTCCCAACCTGAAACGTGAATTTTCCTGCTCCTCTGCTGCTGCATGGCCCACTGTGCTTCTCCAGCTCCACACTGTTTATCTAAGCCAATCTTGAATTTATTTGTGTCCTAACCTTGTGGTTGAAACTGCAGCTTTCTATCTGTGTGTATTCCAAGCCTGGGTCCAGTGAGGGTGGGTGAAGGACGGGGGGGGCAGACCTAGGCTAAACCTGCTGTTTTCTCCCACACCCTCCTCTAATCCCACAAAGATGAGTGTTGGTGTGCTGCAGGTCGATGTAGCTGGGAGCTGACTGGATGAACTGGGATTTGGGAGGAGATAGGCTTTGAGTGACAGACCTGGGTAGTATTTAAGTCCTGCGCTATCAGTTGCCATTCTGTTGCGATATGGACCGACCAGGAATGAGTATCTGCGTGTTGCTCTGATGTCTTTCTGCTGAAGTTAAATGGGGGTCCTTTTCAGTTGTTGGAGCTCCCCCACGGTGCCTCAAATGCATGTAAATATAGTCTAGTTCGAGTAAGAGATGCCTTTGGGTTGTTTGGAAAGAGTAATTGCTGGCAGATTCCAGATTCTGTTTTTGTTATTTTAGTATGATGTACCCAATGGCAATGCTTAATTGGGATTATACTCATTATTTTAATTAATGTATTCATTGACAGAAATTTGAAAAACAGCAACAAAGCTAAGCAATGCTGGAACCTCGATCTGTAACTTAGAGTCATTGTACAGGTAAGCTCTGCCAATCTTGTCCTTTGTGTAATGAGATTTGTGGATGTGATGAGAGATGCCCACAACTGAGGAACAAATGTCACAAAAAAAGTGAAGTGCAGACATTAGATAGAATGTTGTGGTCAGTAACATGTGGAGACTGCTCATGAACTGGATGGTGCACATCTCTTGGTTCTGGGGCCAATCTTACTGCTGTAATTGACAGGTTAGATGAAGGAAGGATGTTCCCGATGGTGGGGCAGTACAGAACAAGGGTCACAGTTTAAGGAGAAGGGGTTAAAGCTTTAGGATTGAGATGAGGAGAAATTCCTTCACCCAGAGAGTGGTGAGCCTGTGGAATTCACTCCCACAGAATGTGGTTGAGGCCAAAACATTACGTGTTTGCAGGAAGGAAATAGACATAGATCTTGTGGTTAAGAGGATCAAGGAAAATGGGTTAGGGTGGGATTAGGGGATTGAGCTCGATGATCAACCATGATCATAATGAATGTTAGAGCCGGGTTGAGGCGTTGATTGGTAGACTCCTGTTCCAATCTTCAATGTTTCCATGTATGTCCATATTGTGTGGTTAACTTTCTGAGTGATGTTGTAGCAGCTGAAACATTCTCAGTTTGAATCCTATAAACATACAGGACACAAAAGGCCCTTCGGCTCATGGAGTTCTGTACCATCTAAGACAGTAAATCTATACCAGGCCATCCTTACATTGTCAGGCCCATAGTCTTCAATGTTATGAAATTTCAAGTATGAATCCAAGTACTTTTTAAAATGTAATTTCTCAATCAATGTGGAATGATTCTCGAGGTTTTATTTAGATGAGTGGGGCCTCATTGACCTGTGTTTCTGCTTTTTCCTGTTAGTGAACCTGTTTTCTGAAACGTTCAAATGCCTTTGTTTCTGATACATTTTTGAGAAACTGATCAGAATGAACAAATTGCCACAGCTGATCCCTATCTGCTATTTAAAACTCTGTTCAGTCACTTTGTACATGATTCAATCACCGCATCATGTCTGTTTCCTTATGCCAACTTTGCAATCCTGTCAATTTGAGTTAGTCATAGACATAGAAATCTACAGCAAAAATGACCCTTCAGCCAACTGCATCCAGACCAATGAAAAACAGGCACTTCACTATTCTAATCCCATTTTCAACACTTATAGGAACGTAGGTACAGGAGTAGACCATTCAACTCCTCCAGCCATTCAACAAATAAATTAATCATGCTCTATCAGACAGTTCTCGAACAAACTAAGGTCCTCAGAGGGAGTGTGAGCTGTGTTCCTGACCTGACTCAAAGTCTCTGGTCTGATTGGGTTGGAGGCAAATTTGGGGCAGGTGTGACAGTCTTAAAATTCAAACTCACTGAACTCCAACCCACTTCCCACAGTCCATCAGTTTTCATGATGGTAAAAATTGCTGCTCTCTGGAACAGGCAGGGGGAGTTTCTTATCAGTAATTCACTGCTTTTCCTGTTTGTCTTCCCGCAGTTAATTTGCTGGCGATTGTTATCCTTTCCCAGGGAAAGTGTGGTGTTTCCCATTGCAGTACTTGCTACATGGTGTTTAAGGCAGCTGCCAATCTGATGGTCATTATCACTGAGGTTATACTGTGGAGATTTCGCTCTTATTACTACCTGCTGTTTTTTTCCTGGACATCACTCCTGTGTGCAGTGTTACTGGGGTCCTGCGCTGTGTAGCCAGGGACGGCTGTATCTGGTTCACCGTCACTTTCTCCTTTGACAGATTTGTGACCATTTATTGTCAGAAGCTAAAAACAAAATATTGCTCTGAGAAAACTGATTGTGTGGTTCTAGCAAAAACCTGCATCCTGCTCTGTTTGAAAAACACCCCCTTCTGTTTTCACTATGAACATCAGGGGATAATCAACAATGTGCCATTCTACTGTAAAACAAAATCAACCTACTATACTGAGACTTGGTGGCAATAGATTGGCTTGATATGGTTTTAACCCCTTTTACTGCCATTCGCTTTAATTCTGTCGCTCAATGCTGTGACACACATTTTAGTGACCAGTCGAGTCCAGAAGAGGCTGAAGGGTGAGAGCAAGGGAGAGAATCGCAGAGACCCAGAGATCAGAAGGAAGTCTGTGATTTTGCTTTTCACCATCTCTGGGAGCTTCATCCTGCTGTGGTTAATGTATGTTGTACATTTCTTATATTATGTCATTCTAGATATCAAACCTGCAAATTACTCACCTTTTCTACATAACTTCAGAAGAATTGGGTTTATGCTACAGAATCTAAGTTGTTGCATAAATAATAGTGTTTGTGCAGCAACATTGTCTAGGTTCAGAGCGAAGATCAGTAATGCAGTAAAATACATGGTTGTACGAAATCCTTGTGTTGTGAATAAACAAAACTCCTGAGTGAAGCCCACAGGTGAATCCTATTGTTTCCAGAGCATGAAATATTTTTATTCATCTGTGGATGTGGATGTTGCTGTTTGGTCCAGACTTTAATTGCTGAAGCCTAGTTGCCCCTTGAGAAGATGGTGGTGAGTTGCCTTCTTGAATACTGTAGTCCAAGTGTTAGACCCGTAATGCCCTTCGGGAGGGAATTTCAGAATTTTGACCCAGCATCCAAGTCGAAATGGTGAGTGGCGTGGTGGAGAACTTGCAAAGAGTGGTGTTCCCATTTATCTGTTGCCCTTGTCCTTCCAGATGGAAGTGGTTGTGGGTTTGGAAGGGTCTGTCTCAGGATCTGCAGTGCATCTTGTAGATGGTATAAATTGGTTATACTTAGTGTAAGTGGGAGAGGGAGTGGATGCTTGTCGATGTGCAGACAATCAAGCAGGCTGCTTTGTCCTGGATGGTGTCGAGGTTCTTAAGTGTTGTTGGAGCTGCATCCATCCAGACAAGCGTTTAGTGGGTGATGTGTTGATGTCTGGCCGATGCAGCAGATGGTGAGAGAGAAGCATTGGGTAGCTAAGAGGGATTGATTGGTTGATTGAACATGTGCATTTAGCTCAGCTGGTGGGGCAGGATGGCACTGCAGGTAATGCAGAGAGTTATATGGAGGTTAATGCTCTCCCACGCCACACACGGTATTCCCATCAAATACTCCCAGGACAGTTCCAGCATGGGTTTAGATGCAGACTGAAGCTCATTTTACAGGGTCCCAATTAAATATTCCCAAGACCTGGACAGCACAGGGGTAGGTGCAGAGTAAAACTCCCTGTATACAGCTCCTTCTTGTCTTTTTATACTGAAAATAAATTTTCCACTACACTTTCTTCATCATACATTCCCAGGATAAGGGCAGCACTGGGTCAGATACAGAGTAAATCTCCTTTACACTGTTTCTACCAAACAGACCCAGGGCAAGGGCACCATGGGGTTAAGTACAAACTAAAACTTTCTGCACTCTTAAAACTGAAAGGAACCTGAAAATAAACTGAAAGTAATGCATCCACTGGCTTCATCAAACCCTCCCATGACAGGTACATCAGGGGTTTAGATACGGAGTAAATCTCCATTGACACTGTCCCCATTAAACACTCACAGGACAGGGACAGTGCAGGGTTAGATACAGAGTAAAGCTCACTCTACACTTGTAAATTAGAAGTAAAGCATCCTCTCCTCTTAAACCTGAAAGTTATGCCACCTCTCACAGGGTGGACTCCACATCACCGACTGAGATGTGACTCCAGGTATCAGTGGCACTGATGAGACCACACCTGGAGAATTTCCGCTGTTTTGGTCCCCTTATTTGACGAAAGATTTGGTGGCATTGGAGGCAGTTCAGAGTGGGTTCACTAGATTGATCCCAGAATTGGGGGTGATTTGTCGCATGAAGAGAAATTCAACAGTATAAGCCTATACTCTCAAATTTTGAAGAATGATTGGAGATCAAATTAAGGTATTTAAGACGATAAAATATACAGATAAAAGAGACATTGAGCGGATGCTGCCTGTTGTGGGGTATTCTAGGATGAGAGGTCAAAGTCTTAGGATAAGGGGTTGCAAATTTAAAACTGAGTTGAGGAGAAATTACTTCACCCAAAGGGTTATGAAACTGTAGAATTTGCTGCCCCAAAGTGCAGAGGATGCTGGGAGAGTGAGTGCATTTAACAAAGAGTTACAGTTTTTTTTAAATTTGGGAATGGTTTGAAGTGTTATTGGGACACGGCAGGAAAATGGGGGTGAGGAGCATATTAGCCATGATCAAATGGCAGAGCAGAATTAGGCCATTTAGCCTCTGTCTTATGAACTGAGAGCACCTCCTTCTACTCGATCCTGGATTTCCAGCCCTTCGTTAATCCCAGCGTGTACTGCTGATTGAAGACCTGGATGGGGTTTTGCCCCTGTTCACTGTAATTTGGGTTGAATGTGGATTATTTTGTCCATCTAGGGCAATAATCTGCCTTCTGTCTCTCCCTGTCTTCAGTCTGGCCCTGGTGCCTTACTGGGAACATAGACACAGAACTGACCCTGTGTTTCCACCTCCTTCACTTTAATACAACAAGGCACAGTGATGTCACATGGAGCTGTGGTAGAGGCAGGTACGACTGAAGCATTCAAGAGTGAATCAGATCATTATTTGAATTTCACTGAGAGGTGAACAGTCAGGATGGAGTTTCATAGTTGTTCTGTTTCTGACTCTTTACTCTGTGAACTTCTAGTCTGATAGTGAGGACCTGGTCTCCTAGGAAATGTGCTGTTCCCCTATTCCACCCAATTCTCAGCCTTTACCACTGAATGAACTGACAGCTAACGGTGAAATGAATATCATTCCCAGATGACTCCTGTCCAATACAGAAACAATTAATTATGTGAGTCAAACTATCATAGAGTCATACAGCACAGAATCAGGCCCTTCAGCCCACCATGTCTATCCTAACCAACAAACACCAAACTACACTGTTCCCATCTCCCTCCACTTTGCCCATAGCCAACTGTGCCCTGACATTCCATGTTCATCCACCTGTTTCTGCAATGTGGAGAGAGCACTTGCTCCCACCATCCTCCTCTAAACCACTTAGTCCTCTGAACCACTTAGTCTTTACCTTAAACTTGTCTTGGACATGTCTACCATGGTGAAGAGATTTTCTCGGTCTACTCTGTGTATACCTCAATTATTAGATGTGTAAACAATCATATTGCCCCTCAGCCTCTGCTGCTGGAAGGAAAACAAACCTAGCCTCTCCAGTCTCTTTTCATAACTGAGACCTTTCATCCCAGGCTACATCTGGTGAATGTCCCCTGGATTCTCTCCAGTGCAACCACAGCCTTCTGATACTGTAGCAACTAGAACTGAATACTATTCCATCTGTAGCCTCAACAATATTTTATAAAGATGTAACAAGGCTTCCTTGCTACTATATTCAATGCCTGTATATGCACTCTAGCATCCCATATGCACTCTTCACTCCCCTATATACCTGTGCGTGTAAGGATCTATGGAGTTGTCCACCACCCTTTGTTCATCAGTACTCCTGAGGGACCTAGCATTTATTGTGAATATCCTTCCATTGTTAAAACTCCCAAAATTCATTTTCACTTTTCTGGATTAAATTCCATCTGCCATTGCTCTGCCCAATTTACCAGCTGATCAATATCAACCTGTAGTCTGAGACCAACATCCTCCCTATCAACAACACCTCCAATTTGCCTGTCATCTGCAAACTTTTATACTTGTGCCTTCTACATTAACGTCCAAGTCATTGTTGTCCATAACAAACAACAAGGGTCTCAGTACTGATCCCTGTGGCACACCACTGGTCACAGAATTCCAATCACAAAAAACAACCCTCCCCTATGACCCTTTCCCTCCTTTGTGAAAACCAGTTTTGGAGGCAGCTTGCCAACTTGCTTTGAATGCCATGTACTCCTACCTTTTGGACAAGCCTTCCATGTGGGACCTTGTCAAAGGCCTTACTGAGATCCATGTAAACCACATCAACTGCAGCCCTCATCAATATAGTCACATTCTTCAAAACCCTCAAGTTAGTCAGACAGGATCTCCCTCCAAATCTCTGATTATCCCTGATCAATCCCATCTTTCCTACTATTGATTAAACCTGTTCCTCAGAATTTTTCCCAAATATTTCCTTCCTGCTAACATCAGATTATATCAACCAGTTAAATATCTGGCCCATCCCTTCTGGCCGCCTTGCACACAGGAACCACATTACCTATTCCCCAGTCATCTGATACTTTTCTCCTGTGGCCAACTAAGTATTAAATACCTCCATCAGGATCCCAGTAATATCCTCCCTTACCTCTCATCAGACTGTGGGGATTTGTATACCTTTACACCTGCTACAACATCTAATACCTCCTTTTTAATCTTAACATTCTCCAAAACATAACCATCCCAACCAAATGTCATAGATAACAGATGAGAAGTATCTTAATCAACATTTAAGAAGCATCTGGATGGTTACCTGAATAGGGATGGAATAGAGGGATACAGATCAAATAAGGGCAGAAGGTTTGTTTTTTAGTTTAGTCAGGGCATGATGATCAGCACAGGCCTGGAGGACCAAAGGAACTGTTCCTGTGGCATACTTCTCTTGTGTTCTTTTGTATTCACTTAAGACCTAACAATGACTGCTAGCTCTACAGGTTACCCATTTTGTCTCTAATAGATCCAATACTTCCCCTGATAATCGTCTCTCTACTTAAAAATGCCTTCAGGATTTCCTTGATTCTGTTTGCTAAATATGCTTTGTGTTGCCCAAAAGGTGTACTCTAAACTTTTACCCAGATATTCTTCTCTTGTGTGACAGGGAATCAACTCAGAATTTAATTAACTAGCCTTTCTTTGTTTAATTCTTTAGATACTAATACTCAGTAAAAACATATTCATTACAACATAACTTCTTGCCTTATCTAGCTTAACTTCAACTTTAACTCACTTCATTTAACTTTTCTTTACCCTACTTTAACTTCAACACAATTCACATTCAACTCTGACTCTAGGTTTGGCTTGAAACAAATACCACCCAATTCAAGTGAAATGGCCCATTTTGCTCTCACTGTAAACCTTTCCTCATGGTTCTGTGTCTCCTCTGACAATCACTCCACAGTACATTACAAATGTTGTGTGGAGCTGGAGGAATACAGCAGGCCAGGCTTTCCTGCTTCTCTGATGCTGCCTGGCCTGCTGTGCTCCTCCAGCTCCACACTATGCTATCTCTGACTTCGGCATCGGCAGTTCTTACTATCTCTGACATTATAAATGTTGTTCTCAAGAGCTCCTCCTGCAAAATCTTTTATTCTCCTAACTTTTATCTCAAAAGTATGCTCCTCCCAAAGGAAACTCCTCTGGCACTCAGCCAATGAATTGACCAGACCCAGATCACAAGGTTTGATCCCAGCCAAAGGATTTTACTGGTAAATAAAATCTCCCAAATGTTAAACAGCCACATCCAATGCTCGTTGCAGGTAGTACGGTGCCAGTCTGCCTACCTGACCATTATGACACTTGTCTTATTTGTTTAACGCAGGAAACTGAAGTCAGAGTTTCAAGTAGCTTGACCAAAATTCCCAGCATGCTTGATTGTAACTCTTAACCAGTCTCAAAGCCATTTCTGCTGTTGACCACCTGACCACATTGGTTTCACATCTTTGCCCTCCTCATTCGCT